CCGTGTTGCAATGCAGCACAAAAGCCCTGGCCAGAAGCCCTTGAACTTCTTAGCCTGCATGGCCATGAGCTAAATAAACCTCTTTTCTTTACATATTATCCAGTCTCAATAAGAATTATATAGAGTATTGTATTAAAATCTCAGCTCCACACAAAGTAAATTAACGACTATTAATTTTACTGTGTTACTGTACAAATTACACTCTGAGTGCCTCTAGCTTCTCTGCTTTACCCCGGCTAGATGGCCAAAGATGATCTCCTTTCGGGAAATGTAGGGGACAGCAGAAAGGATGGCAGCAAGTTCCCTATGTTTTCATTAAAACAATGTTATCAGTTAACGCACAAGGAATGCATACCATGTGCTAGGTACTCTGCATCATGCGTCATCTCATTTAACCCTCACGACAACCCTTTGAAGTGGGTACTAACTTACGTGTGTGAAAACTGGAACGAAGAGAGGTGAAGAAACACAGATGGCCCCAAATCCCCCGAGTGCCGTTGAGAGGCTTTTGATCTGTCTCCAGAGCCCACGCTCATAACCACAAGCCCCTGCTGCCTCTGCTGAACTGCGGACCAGTATCTGCTTCATTAAACCATGCTGTCTTGCAGTGGTTTAAGTCAGGGCAGGAAACGCTTTGTAAAATTTCTGTAAGCTAGAGAAATTCATTTTGTTGAGAACTTTATAAACCTTCCTAGAATCATTTTTTTCCATTTTATCTCACCGTTTTTTTAAGAGAAAAGATGTATATTATTGAGCAACAAGGACAAAGGAGGGAGAGGTACCCACTGCCCACTACCCAATCTTCTCCATCCTAGTCCCAGAGGAGGATATCTTCAGGGTTCAAGTGTTCTCCCCCAGACGCACGAGCCTAGTGGTAGACGTGTTAGGCGTGCATCGGAGTCCCATCCTCCGGAGTACATTTAATCCTTCATGTAGCTCAGACTTTATTCTAGGGTCATTTTCTTTCTTCACTTATATCCTTTAGAAGTTTCTTTAGTGAGGATTTGGGGTGTAAATATTCTCAATGGTAGTTTATCTGAAAATGTCCTCATTTTTGCTCCGGTCCTTATTTAGCTCTGTTAGGTATACAATTATAGGATGACATATATTTTCTTAGCATTTTGGAAATATTAATCCCCTATTAGTCCTTTTCAGTCTAAATTCCATTCTGTGTAGGTAGTCCATCTCTTCTGTCTGCCTGTTTTTTTCTTAAGTCTTTGGTGTTCTGCAGTTTTATTGCATTGCATCTAAGGATAGATTTCCATTTTTGTTTGTTTTTAATCGTATTTGGGATTTTCTAGGCTTCGGGAATCTGAGAATTCCATGTTCATCATCAGCTCCAGAAAGCTCTCAGCCATTATCTTTGTGAATATTGCCTCTTCCCTATTCTCTTTTTTCTATCTTTATGGAATGCCAATTATATATATGCGGACCTTTTTGCTTTATCCTTCATGTCTCTTTGGTATTTTTTCCATCTCTTTAACACTCTAATAGTTTTGTGTTGTTTCTTGAGCTCTACCTTGCAATATTCTATTAATAATTCTCTCTTCAGGTGGATCAAATCAGTTGGGTAGTCCCTGTGTTGGTTTTTTAATTTAAATTATATTCTTTTATTTCTAGAAAATCTATTTCAAGCTGTTAAAAAAAATGCTTGACCATTTTTATATTCTCCTGCTCCTTACTTATGTGTTTAAATTACTTTTTATTTCTTTAAACATACTAAATGCATTTGTTTTATTTCTATATCTATTAATTTTATCTCTAAAGCTTTTGCAGATCTAGTTCTCGTCCTTCTTGTTTCTGCTCGATCTCACACATAGTGACTTATTTTTGTGTGTGTGCGTGCGTGTTTGTGTGTGTGTTAATCAGGTCATGTTTATTAGAACTCATCTGTGGAATACTTTGAGGCCTGGGTTGAGGGAACCTTCCTCAAGGGAAGATTTGTGTTTACCTCTTCCAGATGCCTAGAATTTATTTATTTATTTAATATAGTAAACCTTTACTTTTGGCTAATTTATTTCCACAACTATTTAAATGATTTATTTATCATTTTGTTTGTCTGAATTACTTTTATATATGAGGATAGAAGTAAAATCCTATCGTTTCTTAGGAAGGCATATACGCTGCATCTTCAGGTAAAGCAAATGTTCATTTGTCAAGATGCTTTACATCCTGTCTCACACAGCCTTTTGATTCTACTTTTTCACTTTTTAATTGCCATACAACACACATGCAGAAAAATGCACATATCCCCAGCGTACAGCTGCATAAATTTTTACAAACCGACCATGCTTGTGGAACCAGCACCCATATCAAGAAACAGAGAACATTACCAAAACCTCGCAAGTTCCCCCATGCCCTTTTCCAGCATTGCTTGGCCCTCCCCAAAGTAAACACTGCCCTGACTCCTAACAGCACAGATTAACTTTGCCTGGTTTTTATCAGATAGTGCACACTCTTTTGTGCCTGCCTTTTTCTGTCACTCAGCACTATATTTCTGAGCTTCAGTCATGTGGTTGCATGTAGCGATAATTTGTTCACTTTCACCGATGTATAGATTTTAATGGCATCATTATATCACAATTTACTTATCTATTTTATCGCTAATGGGCATTCTAGTTGGGAATATTACAAATGGTGCTACTGTGAACATTCTAATTCTAGTATATGCCTTTTTGTTAACATATGTGTGTGTTTATGTTGAGCATATACCTAGAAGTGGAATTTCTGAATTACAAGATATGCATAAGTGCCATTTTTCCAGCCAACAGTATATAAAAGTCCAAGTGTTCTACATCCCCACCAACACCTGATATTTTGTCTTTTTTTTCATTATTAGTTTTTATTCTGGTAGGTGTGTAATGGTATCTCATTGTAACTTTAGTTTGAATTTCCCTGATAACTAATGAAGTTGAGCACGTAGGTTGACGTGAAGTTTGTGGGATCAAATAATAATGTAGACTCAGGCCCAACTTCCAAATGAGGACCTGCCAGAAGTCATGAATACTTACGGAAAGATTTTTTTATTATAGCTCCTCACAGAAATCAAGCTGGGGCAGGGAACTTACCATCTTTTCTCTGCTGTCTACAAATGCCTATGGAGTTTGTTATTTTATTTTGCTTTCCCTCCCCCCCTAGTTCACCCTTTATGTGAAGGCAGAGGTTCCTGGATCCCAGCGTCTTTGGGCTGGTCAAGGACCCCTTCTGCCTGCCTTGGCCCAAGCTTGTCCCCTAATTTCTCTGATCCAGAGACTCTAGTTGGTTGGTTCCTCCACATCCACATGAGCTTCCAGAACACCTAGAGCTTTCATGCCCACACACCTACCTGAGATCAGCTCCCACCTACTTCTCCCCAATACACATTTTCTCCTCTCAGGAAGCTTCCCTATTTATTTAAAAGGCTGTTTCTCACATTTTATTCATAATTCAAGATGTGATAAAAGTAGATTTCAGGAGTTTTAGTTCTCCATTTTGTTTTGTGATGGAGAAATAACATGCAATCTGGATATGGCTTACTCTGCTAACAGAGTCCTCACGCTTGTGACGCAGGTCTCTTTATGCCCAGCACTCGCCAGCAGTTGGAAGGAAGTGGCTGTGATGCCCTGCGTAGTGTTCCCACAAAGCTCTCTATGGAGGTCCCCATTGGGTTAATCATCTGAACCACTAACAGGCCTCACTAGCAAAGGAATACAGATGAAAGTCCTTCTCTAGCCCAGGGTGGAGACAGGATGGATCCTCTACTCTATGTGAACCTATGACATTGAAGCTTTAAAAAGAAGCTAACCTAGTAAACAATCAGGCATAAAGGTGGAAATTGATGATCCCAAGATTTTGCCAAGAATTGTGAACATTCTATCCTCTCATTTATAAAACTGTAAGGAAGATAAAGCGAGTTAGCCCACAAAGGAAGCTAATGGATTAACAAGACGAGGTAGGGTTGTCTAATTACTTATTAAGGTTCGACAAGCTATAGTTTAAAATTCTAAACTTTATTGTACTTCTTATGATATTTCCCCAAATAATAAGGTTATTTTGAAGGTGCTCCTTATACCTAGATTGTATATGAAATTAAAAATTTGAAATCATATAACCGTATAGTTTTTCATGCACTCAAATGCATTTACTGATCCCAAACGAATAATTGAATTTCCTATCTTTAGCCACTAAAATGGCTTTTTAACTTCAGTTTTGTGTTCTTAGGTCATGTCCGGTGAGAAATATAATTCCCTCTAGCATCTTTTAGATAATTTTTCTGTTTTAAACACCTTCGTTGCAATTTAATGCATTTGCAATATCTTCAGTAAATGAAATAAAACGAGATTGTTTCAAAATCATGATTGTAATGAGGTTATGTATCTTTTAAACATCTAAACCATTCTAGTTTGTCTTCCGTTACAGAAACAAAGGCATTTTAAAAAGAGATTTCAATCTCTGTGAAAATAAAGCCTTATATATTCGTGTTTACATCAATCTCCTGTGGGACTCATGAGGAAAAACAAATCGAGGACAACATTCCATGGAAGCTGGCGGATAAAGCAGTTGATCCTTGAAGACTCTTGGTCAGTGTTCTGTGATAATGAGCGCATGGACTTCTGTTCTTTGAATTCCACCGACCACTTTAGCTAACTGCCAGGAGCCTGGATCTGACTTAGAATCATGGATATCTGTGTAAATTGATCTACATCCACCCTTTAAAAGCACTGATGAATGAATTAGAACTTTAGAAGACAAAGTTGAAAAAAAAATTCTTATGCAAAGAGAATTTGATGTTGAAACAAACACAATGAGGAAAGACTGACTTTTCTATTTACCTTCTAAGAACTAATGGAATTGTCACTTTAAGAAAGAAAAAATGAACAGCACATGTATTGAAGAACAGCACGAACTGGATCACTATTTATTTCCAATTGTTTACATCTTTGTGATTATAGTCAGTGTTCCAGCCAACATTGGATCTCTATGTGTGTCTTTTCTGCAAGCAAAGAAAGAAAGTGAGCTAGGGATTTACCTCTTCAGTTTATCACTATCAGATTTGCTATATGCATTAACTCTCCCTCTATGGGTCAATTATACTTGGAATAAAGACAACTGGACTTTCTCTCCCGCCTTGTGCAAAGGGAGTACTTTCGTCATGTACATAAACTTTTACAGCAGCACAGCATTCCTCACCTGCATTGCTATTGACCGGTATTTAGCAGTTGTCCACCCTTTGAAGTTTTTTTTCCTGAGGACAAGAAAATTTGCATTTGTGGTCAGCCTATCCATCTGGGTATTGGAAACCATCTTCAATGCTGTCCTTTTGTGGGAAGAAGAAACAGCTATTGAATATTGCGATGCCAAAAAGTCTAATTTTACCTTGTGCTATGACAAATACCCTTTGGAGAAATGGCAAATCAATCTCAACTTGTTTAGGATGTGTACAGGTTATGCAATACCTTTGGTCACCATAATGATTTGCAACCAGAAAGTCTACCAAGCTGTGCAGCATAATAAAGCCACAGAAAACAGTG